TATAAGTTCTCCCAGAAATTCGTACAATGACCCAAATGTAACGAAACTTGGCTTAAAGATAGTTTCAAGGTATACAAGTTTTATTGGCACTTCTATTTTGCTTTTTTGTAAATTTTAGAATTTTGATTTTGGTCTCAAAAATCGTCTGGTTATCTTCTTCAATGTAAAATGAATGCACTTCGATGAAAATTTCATCCAATTCGTTAAATGGTTCAAAAGATAATGATAATTAGAGAAATTCGAATTATCCTCCAAAGGTATGAAATTCCCATATATGGTCAAAATTAACACGSTTTACGCGCCCACCAAAACAATCAAATTCAAATGGAACCAAGTGATTGGTATTTATAAGAAAATTTGTAGTTTTTCTGATTTTAGAAGTTGTATGTCATGTGACATATGAAGTCACAGATTCGAGAATACAGGTGAAATTGATTGACAAATGATGTCATATGTCACGTGTCGCCAAACTTCTAAAAATGAAAACAACTACAAATTGGCAAAAAAGTGTTAATGACTTGCTTTCCATTCGAATTGGATTGTTTTGATGGGCGTGTAAACATCCTTAATTTTGATCATATATGGTCATTTGTCGTGAAATTCAAATTTCTGTAATTGTCGATAACTTTTGAACCATTTAACGGATTTGGGTGGGGTTTTCACTTAAATGTATCGTTGTGATCGTACAAAATATCTAGATAACTTCGGGAATCCAAATCAAAGTTTTAGAGTTTATTGCCATATTTGGACATCGCGTATGACGTCATAAAATCAATCACAGTGAAAATAGAATTGCTATTATAACCTAACTATATCGGAACTCTCATCTTGAAAAGTTTTCTTCCATTTAAATCATTGTACGAATTTCTGTAAACCAAACGGGAGAAAGAACACCGTTTCTGACCATCAAGATAATTCTAAAAAAATGTCAAGTATAAACTACCAATAACAATACGAAGATTACCTTAGAATGGATGAAGAGCCTGAAACCGAGGTGGATGAAGAAGAAGTAGTCACGGTCGACACGCTCGACGACGTGGAAGTGCTAACAGAACTTGTAGTTGGACTAGAGCTCGATGACACTGTACTGGTCGTTGGTACGCTTGTTGTCGATGGTACGGACGTACTTGGAGACGTGGATGTACTCTTTGATGAACTTACACTGCTTGATGTTGTTGGAGTGCTTGTAGTCGGACTCGACACGCTCGACGACGTGGAAGTGCTTACAGAACTTGTAGTTGGACTAGAGCTCGATGACACTGTACTGGTCGTTGGTACGCTTGTTGTCGATGGTACGGACGTACTTGGAGACGTGGATGTACTCTTTGATGAACTTACACTGCTTGATGTTGTTGGAGTGCTTGTAGTCGGACTCGACACGCTCGACGACGTGGAAGTGCTTACAGAACTTGTAGTTGGACTAGAGCTCGATGACACTGTACTGGTCGTTGGTACGCTTGTTGTCGACGGTACTGACGTACTCGGAGACGTCGATGTACTCTTAGATGAACTTACACTGCTTGATGTTGTTGGAGTGCTTGTAGTCGGACTCGAAACGCTCGACGACGTGGAAGTGCTTACAGAACTTGTAGTTGGACTAGAGCTTGATGACACTGTACTGGTCGTTGGTACGCTTGTTGTCGACGGTATTGACGTACTCGGAGACGTAGATGTACTCTTTGATGAACTTACACTGCTTGATGTTGTTGGAGTGCTTGTAGTCGGACTCGA